GAAAATATGAATCAAACGGAAAGTACCTAAAAAATGAATGTATTTTTATAATCTTTGATTAGGCTTATATCTTGCACTAGCAAAACTTAATGAATCGTGTACATCTCCTAGTAAGGGTAAATCTTCCTTCTCATCATTCTCCCAAATGTCACCCAGCATAAAAGAGAACTTTTTGAACATCATTTTTTTATCCAAAAGACTATCTTAAAGTATTTCAAATGTCTCCAAATGAGACCTCTCTTAAAATAGATTCCAATATAAGTAGCATTGCATGGAAGATTTTGAAACTATTGTGAAATTTTAAATATTCAAAATAATTGATCTATTAAAGTTAATTGATTAATTTTAAATTCAAGGGCTTTTGTAAGTACGTGAATTTTTTTAAGAGTTATTTAAAATACGAGATTAATTTTAAAATATGAGAGCAATTTTGAAATCTGAAAGTTTTAAAATACGAGAATATTTTTGATCAAAATTTCAAAATACAATAATTTTAAATTCTGAGAGTTTTGAAAATCCGAATGCTTTAAAGTGGAGATAAATACAATTAACTAGAAAATTTGATTTTTGGTTAGTTGATTAATTAAATTAATTTGGAAGAAAATTGCATGGAAAGAAATATTGTTGCATTAATTGATATATGTACAAGTAAACTCAACTCTCAATACAATCTTTCACAAACCCTAAAACTCTCCAAACAAACAACACTCCAACACCTTCTAGAGCACTGTGTGGGCTCCAACTTGGTCTGTCAATTTCTGACACGAACCTAAAAACCGACCCGAACCTGACCCAAAAAATTTGGGTTCGGGTCAACCCGTGAAATAAACGGGTCAGGTTCGGGTCTAATTTCTTGACCCGTTTAAATTTCGGGTCAGGTTCAGGTCAACTCGCCAACCCGCTGGTGACCCGACTAACCTACGACTTCTAAATTTTAATACTATATTATTTCGACTTTCGAGCGAGAGGCAGTTGTTTTGCTGTTCGCCTGTTCGAGACTTCAAGTCTTCGCCTCTGGTCTTTAGCCCCTTCCGTCTTATTCCGATTTATGGTTTGCATTCCTCGTCTCCTCGCTCTCTTTTTGTCTTCAAGAGCACTGAATCAGTGGAGTTCTGTTGCTGTCTTCTGCTATCGAGTATCGACCTCTCGAATACTCCCTTGTTTTGTCCTTCATGATGGTCGGCAATATCTTCAATAACTCTTGACCTCTTGTTATTTTGGACTTTCGGTGGGACGTTAAGACGTTGTTTTTTATTTCTATTTAGTTTTTTTATGGAAGATTTATTATTTTTTTTGTAACAAATTTTGAGTTTTGACTATCGCCTATCGGTGTTTGAGGCTTTGAGCGTTACTGATTTGGTGAGTCTGTGATTTCTGAAATCTATAGATGGAGGATTAGCTAATTAGTGAGACTAAGAGCTTAAGGTGGGTTGAAATGTTGATTAGGGTTTCTTTGTGAACTTGAGATCAGAAAGTTGAAATCTTTTATGTTATGGTTATGATGAAAATGAGTTTACAACATCGCTGAGCTGCTTGTTGCTATCTTTTATGCTGGATATTTTGAGTTTGGAACTAGTGATTGCCGGCTTGCTGTTGTTGAGTGCTGACTGTCTGACCGCCTGATATCAAGCTTAAATTAACTTTGTCCAATTGACTCCAACATTGTTGGCTGTTGTTGACTTGCTGTAAAACACTTCACTTCAGCTATTGTTTTGATTATTAGATGCAACACACATTTGGATGCAACCAATTTATAAATTGGTATAAGTGATTTTTATGGCATGAGTAGATACTATTAAATTAAATTGATTAAAGTCATATTTCCAATTTGTAACTTTGGAGGGCACAATTTTTGGAGTTGTTGCAGCTGATGTTTCTTTGCTAGGTTCACCTTGAGGCTAAGGCTTTGGCCTTTGGTAGTTTGGTTGCTAGCAAGTAGCAATCAATGAATTATTTCTTTTATTTGTTTTTCCTTTCTTTTACAACATCACTGGTTCCTTATAGGTGAATGATGAGCAATTGATGATTATGCATTTATGCATGGAGCCATAGCCACGGGACTGAAAGAGTGCAAGGGAAGTAGGGAACAATTAAGCTTTATACTTGTTTTAGACTTTCAGTTGTTTAGTTAAGTTGTCTTTGACTATTTGTTAATTGTAATATATTTTTTTAACTTGTAATTTGTAAGTTGTAATTTGCAAGAAATTTTGAATACAACTTAAATTTTATTGTTTCTTTTTTTTTATAATAATTTGCTTAAATAAAAAAGAAAAAAAATTGAAAAAATTTTCAGGGGTGTTGGCGGGTCGACCAACCCTGGTTGGGTTTAGCCCGGGTCGGGTTCGAGTTTTATTCCGGACCCGTTTTGCTAAACGGGTCTGGTTTGCGTCGACCCGTTTAAGCCTGGGTCAAGTCTAGTTTGACCCAAACCCGACCCGTGAACTAGAATTGACACCCCTAGCTCCAACCCCGATAACTATATCCCTTGTGGCTACAAGCTCTTTAAACTATCTACGAGCTCTCTGAACTGCTGCAAGTACCAAATACCTGCAAACGAAACAAATAAATGTTAGTATGTCTCAAATAAAAAAAAAATCATCAAATAAAAAAAATTATGGAGAATAATAATTCTAGTTACTAGTAAAACAAAGTACTGGAAAGCCAAGAAAAACTAGGTACTAACAAAACTAGTAGAGCAATAGTACTATAAAACTAGTAAAGTAGCAGTACAAAAAATGAGCGAGTAGTGGACTACTTCAGTAAGAAAAACTACGAGCACAGAACAACTAAAACAATAACCCAGTATCAAAACCCCGAAGTGTCAAAATCACAAACTCAAACAAGTACATAACAAATTTCTAAACATTGTACAAGCAACTACTGGCTATCCAAACAATCAAATTCAAAACTTATGGACAACCTTGTTTTTAAAAATTTGGTTGTAAGACTTACTACCTGACAGCTTTTCAAAGGAAAGACGTAAGTCCAACCTTAAAAGAAAGTTTTAGGTGAAATTGACCTTACCCATAACCCCCAATCAAATCTCCGACCACTTGTAGTAGAAGTCGTAAGCCCGACCCCTGAGGGAAATGTTTAGGTGATAATACAACCCTAGACCCCTCACTCGGGCAGCTTAGTCTATAGGGATTGGTTGTAAGACCCACAACTCGGGCCACTTAGCTTACAGAGCTAGATCGGAAGACCAATCTTTAGGAAACTTCTAAGAAAGTACTAAGACCTACCCAACTGAAACCTTCGGTCTATTCTTAGTAGAGGCCGTAAGTCCTTACCCAAATCTAATCACATGGATATCTCTTGTTGAAAAATTAAGGCAAAAATCTCTATAGAGAATTTCATCTTTAAATAATGCTTTGAAATACAGTAATTATGATACTAATTCCTATGTTGAAGGCATGTGGAATTTCTATCGTAGGATCTCCTACCCAAATAATTAAAGCCTACGAGCATTCTAGCCTATAGGGTTAGGTTGTAAGACCAACCAGCGTGCTACTTCTAAGTGAAGTCGTAAGTCCTATGCGTTAGGGAAACTTTTTAAAATAAAGTACATTGACCTTAACAATCCTATAAATAACCAAACAACTTTTTAAGGGAAGTCATAAGACCTAACCCAAATCTAACTAAAAACCAAATTTAAACTTGTGGACATCCTAGTCTGTAGGATTAGGTTGTAAGACCCGCTATCGGATAACTTCTAAGTGAAGTCGTAAGACCCACATTTTAGAAAAATTGTTAAATAAATAGTAATGATCCTAAACCCCAAACTACCTAATTCAAACCAATGGGCATCTTAGTCTAAAAGATTAGGTTGTAAAACCTACTTTTCAGGCTTTTTCCTAAGGGAAATTACAAGTCCTACTGAAATAATTAAAACCTCCGTGTAGCCTTGCTATAAAGTTAGGTTGTAATACTAATCTTTGGGCAACTCACAAATAGAGCAGTAAGCCTCATCCAAAATCAACTACTTGGGTTACTTTCTACGAAAGTCGTAAATCCCAACCTCAATCTAAATACCTGGGCTACTTCCTAAAAAAGCTATAAGACCCGCTCTAATCAAAACTCCGGGGTTACTTCTAAATGAAGTTATAAATCCCCAAACTAAATTAATTTCCTGGTGTTCTAATAGATGTAAACCCCAAAACACCCAATAAAATTTAAACCCATATCCAACCACTTCAATTTACTCGGGATTCCTGAGAGGAGGCAACCCATGACTTCCAATAAGATTTCCTGGACACTTCGGTTAGTGATTGTTAGTGTTGGTAGATTGAAATCTACGGTATACCCGGGACGACGGAACCATGGGATCTTGATCAGGTTTACCTCCATTTTTCCCAAGATTGAGTCTAAAATTACCTAAAATTTATTCATTCTTAATCGAGAGTTCTCTCTTACGTAGTAAGAGGGGTAATTAATTATGAGTGCTTGCGTTTATAGGAAGTAAGGACCCCAGATCTTTAAACCCTGACATTACCCTCAGGGGAAATCTGGTTAATTACAATCTGACTTAAAAGAAATAGAATCCTATAGCTGCAAAGCAGGATTCATGCATTCGTGCCATTTTTCTTGAGCCAACACTATCTATTCTTTGGTGTGATCATCAAAATCAATTGCTGCATCTTTTTGTTTGTTTTCAATTGTCAACTTGAAAGTTCACTTTCCTTGAATGTGAGCTTAGAATTGGTAATATGTAACAGTTGATTTGTTTTTGGAATATTAATATGAAAGAAAGTTTAAGTTTTAAATAAATTTGATTGTGTTGGGCTATTTCTTCTTAAAAGGTAGCTTTAACCAGAAACAAGTTAATAAAAGTAGGAATGCTTCTTTCTGATTTTTCGGTGTACAAATAAGTGCTGTAAATGTGCCTGATGAGATTTCCTGCCGAAGTCTTTAGCAAATTTCATGTTACTTACCTTTTAACTTATTTGCTCCTATTATCTGCGGCAGGTTTGCTTATGTTTTAGTATTTCCTACTTACACAGTGATGTTTATCCATTCCTGGAGAAAATATGCTTGTTAGGCACGCGTGTTGAATCCAAGTTTGCTGTTCAGGCAATTTCATCATTAATTGATTCTTCGGATGATCATATATTCTCAAGTTTATGCCAGGTATCAGTCAATAATTACAATTTCTCAAGATTTAGCAGAAGTCTTAACTTTTTCTTAATTTATTAATTTTGGATGAAAACCCTTATATATGCTAGTTTTTTATCTTTTGATTTGTTTAGGTTATAAAAATTTTTGCTTGCATCCTTTTGAATTTTTTCTTGGTCCTCTGTGTGTGCCTATTTAAGTTAACATGTCTTTGCATGAAAATGCGTATATAGAATTATTTCCATCCTTCATTCCCTAATGTTTAATATATTGCTGTTGATATCCAATAATTCTGCCATTTATTGAAAACCAATAGAGTTATATATTTCTTCCTGAGGCAGGATATCAAGAAAAGGCATACTTGACTTGCGAGATAGGTGAAACAGTTAATGTGTTTGCTTTATTCACCTTTTTTTAAAAAAATTTAAATTGCATTGTTAGTTTGCTGCCTGATCAATTAGGCTATTATATAGGTGTGTATGATCATTATTTTCAAAATGAGTGAATTTTTTCTCACGGGCCTGATCTTTTCCTACTCCTTTTGCTACTGTTGATTAACATTCTGTTGCTTTGCATAAAAAATCACTTGTGTATGGTTGACACAATTTTCATGTCGACCAACTCGGATCGAATCGAATCAGGCCTGATTAAGTTCAATCAACTAAATTAAACCCAAATGAAACCTAAAGCGGGTTTAATTGAACCCAAATTAAATTAAATCAATCGAAATTGACCTCAATCAAGTGAAATCTGTCTTAGATGTGTCTAATTTGATTCAAAATAAGGCCAATTGAAGCCAAATAAGCTCTCAATCCAGAAAATATAAATCAATGACTGCGACTTCCCCCAAGTTTCGAATTGTAGGTGTTGCTGTCTAATCACGAGATCTCCTCATTTTGAAGCAGATACAACTGATACTGCTTGGATCAATGGTCATAGTCTTCATTTTGTGTTTATTGGGAAGGAGATGAGAGGGAGGGCCGAGCAATGTGCTTCTTGCGTGCATCTAAGTTAGAGAGCTACCAATTTTTTCAACGCTCTTCTTTTTGCTGGTTCAAAATCGATAGGGTAGGAGATGGAGAAGAGGTATTGCATGCAATTTTCTTGTATGCGTAATTGGGATGCAGCGGAGAGCGTGCGTTTGTCTTGTGCGTACCTAGGGATGGGACGGGAGAGGAATGAGACATTTGGGCTCTGCTTACGTGCGGATAGAGAGTTTCAATCGAGCCTTACCACAAGACTGGGAGTCGGACCAAGCGATTGGTAACTTTCTCGTGTATGACTGGAGGGTTTGACCTTGCACCTTCTTCTGTCTGAAGTTGATTTGAGCTATTACGATCCAGCCAGGTGAGCTCGCATAGACGAGGCGGGAACGGATGTCAGACGTAAATGATAGAACAGAACATTTCAGTAGCATTAAAACCTGAGTTAATATGAAACTAAAACACTTCAAGAGATAATAAACGCTCTAAACAACTTCCAAATTTGAACTAAAAGTTTCATATAAAGTCACAAATGTCCAAAGGTGGCTAAAATATTTCTTCCATACCAATTTCAATCTAAAATCATCCTACAATTACAAAAAAAAAAAAACACAAGAGGAACATGTCATCCAGTCCTATACGACTATACGTAAACTAAAGTCGTTCAGCTATTCCTAATAGCAAGGTCTCCTAAAAAAAAATGTCCCAACACGAGGGAATGTGTAAAACCCGAAAATGCCGTCTAAGACTTCGCACGCTTTTCAAAGCGCCGCGACGAGATTTAAGTGAAAAATTCGAGATTGTCGGATTTTGATGGAAATAATTTTGAAAAATTCTACGCAAAATTCTAAGAAGTTTGATATATAGAACTTGTATTCAATTTTGCTTAAATTAAGAGATATAATTTTTAGAAGTTCAAAAATACCCAAAGTACCCCTAATGTTTATTCAAGCATGGGTTGTTTAAGTGAGGGAATAGAGGTCTTTTGGCAAACCCATTATCCCTCTATACAAAAACCGAAACCCTTCTCTTCTCCCCCATTCGTTCGTGCGGCCTGAACCGAGCGGAGAAGAGGGAGGAGCGCGCGGGTAGGAGTCGATTTTGGCGAGCTTGGGAGCGGATTCCGGCGGCCAATCTTGGAGGAAAGCGTAGGGAAATCCAAGGGAAGGTTAAGGTATGTGTTTTGCAAGAGTTTTTCTTCATTTCCCTTGAGTTTTCCCTAAGGAATGAAAACTAGGGTTTTGCGAAAACTTAAGTTTTCTTTGAGATTCTTTTGAGAAACGTTTAGGGAAGGTTAGGGGGATGTTTCTAAACCCTAATGTGTAATTTCTTTTATCAAAATATGAATTTCGAAAATTAGGGTTTTACTTAAAATTGATCTTCTTTGGAAATGCCTTCACAAAAGATATTTCTAAGGGCATGGGGAAGTTTTTATGGGAAGACATTGTAAGGTTTAAGCAAAGTTTTGAGTTTATGGATTTAGGGTTTTTCCCCAATCATGATATTTTTGATCCCCATGGTTTTCATAGGTTGTAGGGAGGATTTTAGAAGCAAATACATGGGTTTTGCATGAAAAAACCATATTTTCTAATTTTTGATTCATTTAATTCCGAAAATTGAATTTATTTTAATGATGTTTTGAAGGTAATGAGAGAAAATGGGTTGAGAGATTTCATGAAATATGGGAAGGGTTTGTTTTAGAACTTAAACAAAACATAGAAAGGTCTCTTTAATTACTTTAGAATTAAGGTTTAGTTTATTGTGTAGAAACTAGTCACTTATGCTTTTCTTTAAATGTTTCTTTTAGATATAAATCGTGTGGAGGGAAAGAGTTGATCGGACAAACGAAAGCGGACATGTATTGAGGTAGGTGGAATGGAAGTTTTTATAAATAATAGCTAACCTTTCTTTCATTGCATTTACATAGAAATGATAAACTCTTTCATGCTTATTATGATATCTTTTTATGATTCTTGCTTCTTTTTAAAAGTTCATGGACATTAAAAGCAAAGGTAAAGGTTTTCTTTATGCAAATGCAAAAGTTCTTTTTATGTAAAAGTACAACTTATGGATCTCATGCTCATTTCTCTATTTATGCTATACATGTCTTTCCTCTTGCATGCAAAAGCAAACATAAGCATATCAAGCATGCATTTTCTTTATGGAAACATACAAGTGGATTGTTTAAGAATGATTTACATCAAGCATTTCTTATGGTTATATAAATACTAAATGTATGTGCATGTTGACGCGGGAGTATCACATGGAAAATGAGACTCTTATGAGCCATGAAAAAGGAGGCTCTTATGAGCCATGGAAAATGGTGGTTCCTATGAACCAATGGAAAAGGAAATGACCAATTTATATGTACCTGATCAGTACAAGTGATACTCCTGAGACGGGTGTTATAGTTATACATATATCAAACTATTATGAATGTTTCATACACATGTTACATGCAATTGAGATTATCCCTTGAGGCATGATGTTTTAACAAGAAAGAAAGGAAAGGTTATTGAAAGATTAAGAATTTAAAAGTTGAGGTAAATGTATGTTTTTCTTTGAGCACAACTTGTTATATGATTGATGATTCTTTTGCTAAAATTTCCCAAAGCATGTTATAGTTTTATCTCTTGATTTTAAGTTTAATTGAATTTCCATTCTTACCTATTGAGTATAATACTCACCCTCGTTGTGGGAATACTTTTCAGGAGGATCTAGGAAGGGGTAAATGGCCAACCAACCACCGCGCACCTACCGTCGTAGGGAGACGACGGGC